ACTTGCCTTATGGGCACCAGTTCACCCAGCACGAAATAATGCTCTGAAGTACATTCTTTGAGCTGCACACTACATGAGAACATAAAATAATTTCACAAAATGAGCACAAAGTATGCATACGGTGCCGCAAATATGAAGACATCACAGCAGACCTGCACTCTTGCAGCATTCTCGTCAAAGCCTTTTATTTCACTTTGCGTCATGGAAGGAATGCATAGAACGAAAGCTTCACTTTCAAGAACATCATCAAAAAGTTACAGCCTTTATAAAAACATTCAAGTGATAAAAGAAAATCTAAAAGAATACAGCAGTCTTATATGGCACATAACGCACAGCTTCAATGCTGCCCTATTAGTGATAGACTAGTTTAGACACACGAAAATGCTTTGGTAGCTGGTAAGGTCACGTAACAAGGTGAACAGCTCATTTGCCTGCATCAAAGATAAAGATAATAATACATTTTGAGGGAAACCAAATGAAGCCAAGAATCAAGCACAGGACATTATTTGTAGTCATTAACTGTAGCATAGTAACTGAAATATAAATGTAAACTAAAGTGGATGAGAAAACACTCATGCCATCAATGGGGCTCAAATCCGAAACCTTCAAATTACGCGTCCGATGCTTTACCGGTCGTGGTATGATGGTGGGCATTCCCTCATTCACTTCGATATTTTAGCACATGCAAGGGCCATTCACAGCCAAGGTGGCGAGTGTGGTACACTCTTCTTTCCAGTTGCCATCATGTGGCACACAATCTTTTACATTACATGCTGGCAGCTGATAAGGACAAGTAATTCGAAGGTTGCAGGTTTGGACACCATCAACTTATCACCAACAGAGCCCCTATGCTTTATTTGTTTGCTTGTTGGCTTCGTCAGGAAGTATGTAACAAAGAAACACGCCGGTCGAACTATTATCCCTTTCAGTTTGAAGGAAGAGAGCTTGAGAAACTGTTGGCCAAAAATAAACGTACATACCCTCCCAAGTACAAATTATCTATTTCCATTAGAACCATTAGCACTTTTCTCAAACAAATTTGTAATTAGCCACACAACAAAAATTCTCATAACCACTGTGACAACAATGCTTCCACTGACGTCTGTAAGCTCAGCCTATGTGTGTTGCAATACAACCAATGAATTGCCCCGACAGTGTACCTTAGTGGCTCCTGCTAAGGAAGGGCAACACACAGACACCAGCAATGAAATGAATCAATAATAGAAAAAAATATACAAGAGAATTCTCAAAATCACTTTCACTTAGCACAAGCCATGTATGTTATAAAATATATATATATTAATATGCATACATACTTGTGTATCTTTTTCACCATGACCGTATCATACAGGCTAAAACTGCTACATGTGTTTTAACTGTGTAAAAACCCCGCATGTTTCTATTGGAACCGATGGAACCTTCTCGAATCTTGTTTTGGATTGTTTTAATCAGAACGCAGGTATGACCTGGTCAGTGAAGACTGTGTAGAATGTACACGAGCACCACCAATTATAGTAGACTATAGTGTGTGTGACATATGTTCCAAGAACTAGTGCGGCACATAGGCAGATCAGATTTTGGCAACAAATGAATGGGCCCATTGCTATAATTGTAAACTTAAACTTTGATACAACAAACATATATGTAATGAAACATAGGTTATAACATGTTAAATGTCGAATAGTCCAGCAAGATACAGTAAGAAATTTATTGGAGTAATGCTGAAAGAAGAGCTAGTTGGTATGTATACGTCGTAATAACGTTTTTCCTAGCGCAGACTGACACACTGAGGACAAAAAGAGGAAAAAAACACCAGCGCTTTTGTAAAAAGACATTCAGCCTATACCTTTGCGCTCTTTTTAATATGATTTGGTTCTCTGTGTCAGTTTGTGCCACGAAAAAAGTTATGATAGAAATTTATGTTTATAAGAAATTTTCACATATAACCAACCTATACCCCTGTCACACAAGAGGGTTTAATGTAATTTTTATCTAATGACATTCGACACACTGAGTGACATTAGGTGCCGTCTGCTGCTACACGGCAAGATATAATGCCCTTTTCGGATGATGGCAATCGCAATGCAGAAAGGACAAGAATGAATGAAAAAAGTCACAGAGCGTGTAAAAAAATGTATTATGCATATTAAATACTGTAAAAATTGTTTACACCAGGTTGGCATCTTTTCTGAAATGTTCAAAACCCCCGACATCAAAAGTTTTGTTCGTGACTTTTTTTTTGTAGCTTTGTGTATGGTAATGCAGAAATTTAATTGTAAATGCTCTATCGCATAGTATAATTTATGCTAGCATCGTTAATTCAGAATGATCTAATGTCAGTTTGAGACGGCCGCCTAAATAACATTAGAAACTAACCCTCCACGGTGGCGCAGCGCCTGAGACTATGTGCGCTCAAGCTTCGGCGACGCTGAACGCGCTGTTCTCAAATAGGCAAACCAGCGGGTGGTGAAGAATGTAACGATGGCGATGCTTTGAGCGTGTCTCCCTCAGAAAAAAAAAAAAGGATTCTTGGCGTAACCAGCCAAAACCACCTTGAATACAGCCAGACAACAGAGTGAGAGGAGTGACGAACAATAGACCTCGGGAGTATTGTAAGCGCTCCGCAAATGTTCTCCGATGCCCTGTCTACGTCAAACCGCAGAGTATGTCGACTGCATCTGAATACTCCTACGAGCACGCACCTTTACTTCAAAACAAAATAAAATATCTTATAGAGAACACTCATTCCTAATATACGGTCAGAAGTGCATGCAGGACTCTAAAGCAACACAAGCATCTAGAGTTCCCAAATTTGGTGTCAGGGGTTTTTTATTATGCAGTTCTTTAGATATTAAAGAAAAAGCTCCTACATAAGAAGTTGAGGCAAAACAGGAACCAATGTTTTAGTCAACGTGCAATATGACTGTCGTGGCGTAGTGTGAGGATGCCGCTGCTTCTTTTCATGCTGACTGGGTAAGAAGTGTCGTCACAGCGTATTTATACGGTACGATACAGTGACCATAGAATGGTAAGGTCTCAAATTTGCCTAGACCTGAAGAAGGAACGACAGAAACTGATACACAAGAAGCCAATCAATGAGCTAGCATCGAGAAGGAAAGAACAGGAGTTCAGAGTCTCGCTTCAGTACAGGTACTCAGCTCTTATCAAGGAAACCAGCCTCAGTGTTGACGCAATGAATGATAATCTGACAAGTATCATCACGGAGTCTGCAGTGGAATTGGAGGTACGGTCGTTAGACAGGACACTAACAAGCTGTCCAAGGAAACGAAAAAGAGAGCTTTTGAAGTTGATCAATAAGCGTAAGGTATCCGCTGTAAGAAGGTAAAACATAGAGAAATTGAACACGCTCTGAACAACGAAGGAAGCGTGAAAGCGGTGAAGAGAAAACTAGGGATAGGGAAAAAATAAATAAACAAACAGATGTATGGACTAAGGGACGAGGAAGGCAAAGTACCTACCAATATAGATAGGATATGACCAATATAGATAGGATAGTTAAAGTCACAGAGAAGTTTTACAGAGATCTGTACAGTAGCCCGGACAACTACGACCATAATGTAGGAACTAGCGGTAACCCAGATGACATTCCCCCAGTAATGACAGAAGAAGCCAGGAAAGCCTTGGAGGGAATGCAACGAGGAAAAGCTGCTGGTGAAGAACATGTAACAACAGATCTGCTGAAAGATTGAGGACAGATCGTATTAGAAAAACTAGCCTGTTTACAAAGTGTCTCCTGACGGGGAGGGTACTAAAATCTTGGAAGAATGCTAACATCATATTAATCCACCAGAAAGAGGACAAGGACACGAAGAATCACAGGCCGATCTGCTTGCTCTTCGTTGCGTACAAGCTATTTACAAAGGTAATCGGTAACAGAATTAAGACAGACATTAGAATTCAATCGACCAAAGGAACAAGCAAGATTTGGAACAGGCTACCCAAGAATCGACCACATTCATACTATCAATTAGGTGACATACAAATGCTCAAAATACATTCAGCCCCCATATATAGCCCTCATAGATTACGAGAAGGAATTCGGTTCAGTAGAGGTATCAGCAGTTACGCAAACACTGTGAAATCGGGGCGTTGACGAAGCATATATATAAGCACCCTGGAACAAATCTACAGATGATCAACTGACACCTTATGCCTGCATAAAGAAAGCGACAGTACACAAACAACGAAGAGTGTGGTACAAGGGGATATGGTCTCCCCAATGCTATTTACCGTGTGCTTACAGGAATTTTTCAGAGGCCTATAATGGGAAGAGTTGGTGATAAGAGCTAATGAAGAGCACCTTACTAACCTGCACTTCGCTGATGAGACTGCATTGCTGAGTAAATCAGAGAACGAATTGCAATGCATAATTACTGAGTTAGACAAGAAGAGCCAAAAGGTAGGTCTTAGAATTAATCTGTAGAAAATGAAAGTAATGTGCAACAATACGGAAAAGAACAGCGCCTCGAGATGGGTAGCAGAGCACTAGAAGTTGTAAAAGCATATGTGAATTTAGGATAGGTAGTAACCACGGAGCCAAACCACGAGATGAAGTAACTAGAAAAGTAACAATGGAGTGGATCACATTCGGCTAGCATTCTCAAATCATAAATGCAAATCTGCCACTAACCTTCAAGAGGAAGGCACATAACAGCTTCATCTTGCCGGTACTTACCTAGGGAGCAGAAACCTGGATGCTTACTAAGAGGGTACAACTTAAATTGAGGATGACACAGCGAGCGATGGAGAGAAAAATGAGAGGTGTAACCTTAATAGACAAAAAGAGAGCAAAGCGGGTTAGGAAATAAACCAGGGTTAAGGATATCATGGTTGAAATCAAGAAGAAGAAATGAACATGGGCCAGGGCACGTATCATGTGGGAAGGATAACCGTTGGTCATTAAGGGTAACTGACTGAATTCCCAGAGGAGGCAAGCGGGTTAGGGGGAGACAGAAGGTTAGGTGGGCAGATGAGATTAAGAAGTTTGCGGGTATAAATTGGCAGCAGCAAGCACAGGACCGGGTTAACTGGCGGAACAAGAGAGAAGCCTTTGTTCTGAAGTAGGCGTGGTTGGGCTGATGATGATTTATTCATACATTCATATATAATTTATTCATAGTCTCCTCCGATGAAAGTACTGTTTTGCAATTAAAACATGGTGAATACTCATTGGAGTTAGTTCTGCTAACTGCATTCATTTGCCTAAATCATTTTTAATGACATTAAACTACCCTGTGTGACACTACACTAATCTCATTAAATATAAATGTCATTAGGTACAAATACCATTAGGCCTTCTCGTGTCACAGGGGTATTATTTTCTGCAACATTCAACTTCAATAATGAGGTTTGGGTGCACGGCAGGTGTTCCTCTCTTTTCTCGGTATAAGTTCGTCCGATAAAGCGTTCAATACTTACTTGATGCCTTGGCTACTGACCTGTTCACCTTTACAGCAATGTTCCATTTATAAAAATAATCTACAACACACTATGTTCTAATAAAACACTTTGAAATGTAGCTGAAGGACAACTGATTCCAATAAAAATAGCAGCTGCTGCCATAGAGCGCAGCCTTTACTGTACATAAATTTACAGTAGGTCTAAAACACAAATGAGATATAAAAGTAAGATGATGTAAAATCAGCAGGTTCCCTGTAATTAAAACTCATAACATATGCCCGTAGCTGGCAGTAAATATTCATAACAATACTACTCAAGAAGGCGCTAAAGAAAATGAAAAGTTTTCTCGGTTTATACCATTACAGCTATACTAGATGACACTAGGTTACCTGTGTATACATAAAAATGAAATCATACATTCAAGTTTGACACCTGCACATGTCAAGAGTACTAACAACAACACATAGCATGGCATTGTAGCCCCAACATTCACGCAAGCCTTAACATATACAAGTGCCCAGCTTTTTTTTTTCCTGGTATAAAACACAAGCAGAGCTGAAACTCGGTGCTCACGGCATTGTGAGACGCTGGCCGACTATTTACTTTGAGCTGGACTTGTGGCCTGACCCAACAAAGCAGCAAAGGCTTAGAACTGGAGTGAGAGTTGAACCGGCAAACTTTTTATGACGCTGACTTGAGAGATCTGAACAGCACCGAACGAGCATGTGGAAGAACATACTTAAGCACTAATGTGAGCAAAAAAAGGAAAAGATTGCTTTGTGTCGCATTACCACAAACTGCTAGGAACGTAAAAAATGTGAAATGCCTGTTAACAAAAAAGACCAGTCAATGGTGACTGTTTCATCGCTTAATAAAGCTTAGCAGTTAATTCAGGTGCCGAGTTGCAAAAAGCAGATGGTTAGGTGGCCTGCGATTGCTGTATTCAGCAAACCTTCAATAAACATTGCACAAAAAGTGAACGGATTTCTTAATGTCATTGTCACTTTAACTGCAATGAGCCATGAATAAAACCTTCCATCACACAGAATATAAAAGGCAAGCAATACTGAGCTTCAATGCAAATAAAATAAAATTAAAGAACAGGAGTAGGATTTGTACCTGACGGATATTAAAAAGTTGTACATCAGTGTGTTCTTTGTTCGGCGAAGACTTCTAGCGCCAGAAAGCACAAAATCATAACAGAACAAGCACTAATGTAAGAATGAGGCAAGCTTTCCATAATAAAGTGTGCCCATTCAACATGGTTCCAGGTTCATACCATGACAACTTTGTAGAGGCATGCCCAAGCAGTTAACTGCGACCATACAGTAGGAAATTTGCACACGCATAATATGTATCATTACAATGAACAGTTGCTTTCACTGCTCCTTGTTGCAATAACCTGTTTCTCCTGACTTTGATTTTTCTCAAGCTTTGCACCAAAGGCAGTAGACTTGTCCATACTTTTTTTCTGCTCGAGGAGCTGCAATATGATCGAGCTGACAGTGCAGGCAAGCTGTTGAACACTGTAAGGCTCATCTATAGGCGGCACATGGATGAAGACAGTCGAAGGACTGATCCTGAGCGAGGTGAAGTAGATGAACTCGCACAGGTACCTTGGGAACACATGAAAACATGTGAGGACACAACACAATGTACAACAACCAATAGCACAGCCTGATTTTCCTCAAGTTTTTGCAAGCCCGGTCATAGGAAAAATTTTTCGCTGTTTGAAAGCTGCCTCAGGGCCGCTAGGCAGTGCATTGTACGCATTCTATGTTCTCTCAATTTCCTACCTGATAGCTAAGGCTGCACGAAGACTGCCAGACGCACATGAAGAATAGAATTTAGGAAGTGTACGCGCTTTGTAGTTGTCCAGCATTGTCTTGACGTGTGCACTATGCCACCAATTGTCAAAGAGGCAGCTTTCAAATGGCGCTTCGATATCTTGCAGAATTTGGTCTGTGACTGTGAAGTGGCAAGACTATGGGTGCAGTGAAACATGCAAACTATAACCGTAATGGCAACACCCTTAGGGGTAACCAGAGACCTACAATACTGACAAATTTTAAAGGAATATTAGCACAACGAAAATGAGGACAAGAACAGAAAGAAGACAAGCTACAGCACCGAGTCTGTCTCTTCTAATCTCGTCCCTGTATTTGTCGTGCTAATATTCATTTAAGATGGAAGCACACCAACTCGACCAGTTGTTCGTTCTAATGCAATACTGACAAAGATGAAGTGGTGAAGCTTCTGTGGTTTTGCATTATGATGTTAGTGTTAAACACTGCTATAACACATACAAAAACAGGAATGGTCACTTGTTACATCAGTGTGAAACACTACAAATGTGTTGAAACTTTACAGTTCTCATATTCATGCACAATAATCACACTCATGAAAGAAGCACCGTGTCACATGTGGTTGGCAGGGCTACTTGCCACAGGCCTGTGTATTTCCTTCCATGAGTACGACGGTTGTACTAAACGTTGCTAGAGACAAGAAGGCAGAAAAAAACTGACTAACTGAAAAGGGGGCACTAGCTCACTAACAACAGCATAGTACAACACTTACCTGCCAGCATCATTCGACGTCTCAACAGGAACTGGGCAGCCAGCTGCCTTAAGCTTTTCAGTGAGTGCAGCAAGATCAAAGCAGGTACTCAGACGTTCATTTTGAGGAGATACCCCGCAGCAGAGGCCCTGAAAAATCAGGTAAATAGAGAGAAAAAAAAATTAATCTATTGTTCACTGTTAAGTGGAAGGTATGGCATCAGAGAATTTCACTGTTACTACTTAGCAAATATGTGTTTTTAAGAGAGTAACTACATCTCAAACCTTTCAGGAACAAGAATGTTTGCTATAACATGAGTTGTACAATGAGAGCAATAAAGATAGCTTTGCGTTTAGAAATTACTAGAGTAGATTACTATTTCATGAACATGAGTGCAGGAAAAAAAAAGCAAGTGAAAATACCTAAAACAGTACGAGTAGGTATGACTGGAGACAGAACACTGTTAGATGTGTGATTTCCTGGCTCTCTTGGCAGATGTCCTACATTACCAAAGAGCAGCAGCCCCACTGCAGCTACCGCTGTCATGGAACGTATGCAGCACTGGAGCATTTCTTAAATCAAGATGCTTCGCCGAAGAAACAATCACGACAGAATTTAACATTGTGTGGCGATCGAAGCAGTGAAAAGTAAGATTTCGATGCCGGCAAAGCTGCTGTATTATCAACTTGACCTTTTTTTTTCTTAGATGTTTTAGAGCTTACTAAATCATGAATCGGTGAATTGGTGCGACTGTCAGGTCTCGCCAACCTGGATATGACAAACAAGTCCGGACAGCTCACCATGCCCCACACAACATCAGTTACACTCTGGATATTGCCAATGGCACTTGCAAGATGTAACTCTTCTCATTTCGATTTCGTTTCCTAGTAGTGGCGTTGGTATTTCGTTATGTTTTCTGGAGCTGTCTAAACTGCTCGGTGTATCTGGAAAAGGAACAACGCAGTGACCATGGGTACGTCACCTGCTTTGGTATGGCACCCTTGTTGTCGGCGGCACAGTAGCTGCCATTATGAGCTTGATTCTCCAGAAATAAGTTTCGCGCAGTGGCATTCATGCCACAGTGCACGACAAGCTGCAAAGAGAAACAAAATAAAGTCAGGACTCTATGCACCTAACTCATGCAGTGCATGCAACATCATTCGCCATTGCCTATCACCGAAATTGTGGCCTTTCAATCTCACAGGGTTATTCATATCAAATAAGAGGATGCAATGCCAGGTAGAGAACTTCTAAATACAGTTAATCAGTTCATTGTAATTACTGGCGAGCAGCATAGAATGGTTATCGCCACTTCCAGCTTCATTCGTTTCCCACCAGACTCACATCAGGCTTGAACTCTTCCCACAACCGAGGCACGACGCTTGAAACAGTGTCGTACTCCACTGGAACTTCCTTCGTCACCAGCCTCGTTCCAGGGATACCAGTCTTAGCGAGGACCTTGACCACTTCACTGCTCGAATTGTGACCATAGTCGCGGAACAGACCGAACCCTGCATAAACCACAACCATGATGATTCGCGCTTACACAAAAACTATCGACAGAAAAAAAAGAAAAAAAGAGATAAGGCTATCGTTCAAGACCAACAGGTTGAGTAGCATAGGTTGCCTAAGGGTTCGACAGCAACGTTTGGGTAAGTCAGCCACCGCTACCAGTCAACAAAACACTGTCTATAATAAAAACGCTGTGAAACGAAATACAATTCCTCGGATGTACTAGGTTTATCGCTCTAAAGAAGCCAGGAATTTTGACCATCTATGTTGACTTTCGGTTGATCGCCGAGAAATAGGCTAGGCCTCGGGCGTTTGAAGTCACAAATGAAAAGAGGCGCATTATTACAACTCACATATACGCTGGATATTTTAAAGCCGCAGCAAAATGAACGTTTTTCTGATAGCTTACGGAGGATTGGGCGCTATTAGGAAAGCAAATATCACGTGCTCAGAGTACGACATCGAGCGAGTGTGGTTTCGGTGCTTATCGCTCTTACCTGTTAGGAGGACGGTGGGTTCATTTTCGGACGGGCACACACCTGGCAAGAGAAAACAAGGCAAATGATTCCCGTTTCACAACTCCGTAGAGTTGTCGTAATGTTGTACCGGAATACCGCCGTCAGTTTAGTAAGTCACGTATCATAGTGACAGCCGAGCTTAAAATAGTGCTGCCAGCGAGTGCAGCAAGTACCAATGTAGCTCCGAGGCACTGCAGCATCTTGCTGTAGTCGCGAGACCTTTTCTGGATCAAAAATGGTGCCCGAAACACGTCAACGAGAACAAACAAAACTTACCGTTTAACGAGTCACTGCTGCTCTTCGCCGCCATGGTAAATTCGAAACTGAAAGCGCCAGGGACAAGACAACTATATTGGTCGTATTTCTGCATCAGCAAATTCCACTGCCTGAATTTACAAATAATATTATTGACCAATAAAAAGATAAATTTTGAAGTAGTCATAGTGCTTTGTGCGAAAGGTTAGCCATAGTTTTTGAAATAAACAAAAGCGTGACGTCACAAGGCGCTACAATTCAAGCATTGTCACAGTCGCCTTAATAACGCTAGTTGCAATTATAGCGATTCTACGCCACTTTCGCGGTAATTATGCATCCACGTATATATGCACGCGTAACACACGTACAATGGGCTTCACTACAACGAAGCTCGATGGCTTTAAAAAAATGCGTTCAGTTCATCCGAACTTCTGCTTGAGCGACTGACACAAAACTCAACTATCGCTCTATTCGAAAAGCTTATCAGTGTTTTCTTTGGGATACTGCTCTGAACAGATACATTACTGCGCTCTGCCATAAAATTGAACTTAACTTTGCGCCAGCATGGGCACAAGCATCTTTTTATCACATTCATAATAACTGTAAACTTCACAGTGTACCTCTTGCAGCCCAATTGAATACAATTAAATAGTGAACATTTGATTAAGCAATACGATTAATTCGTCAATCACCTTTGCATAGAACTTTATATGTATTCTTCAACTGTCACCACAGCTAGACTGAAAAGATGTTATTACTTATTCACTACTCTTCCTTTCAAGGATCAGGTTCTCATAACTAAAACACCACTACAAAATTATGAATATTATCATAAAACTTCACAAAAACACCTAGCGACCTAAATTTTATTCACTATTGCAAACATCATCAAATTACATGTTTGTCACAATTCTGTTCCATACATAGATGACCTTCCATTTCACCACACTTCATAAATGAGTTTCTTGGCACTCTATCAGTGGGCAGCAAACCAAAGTTTACACCACTCTTGCGCTTATCTCACCATTTTCATTTCAATAAAATTTGTTATCTGGCATCCACTGCATTGCCAAGGCCTGCAAGTATCTAGCACCTGCCTGCTGAAGGATACACATTGCAATGCAAGGCAGTTTATTGATTTGCTCTTCTGGTTCATCCATGAAGTGCAGCATATGGAATATATATCTAACAGCATCATGCTCACTTCTTTGAATTTTTTCCCGTTTTATAGCGAAAGCTGCTTTGAGATCACAACTCTGGTCATGCGCAGTTGTCCGCCGCCGCTGCCGGTATCCGCAACTACACCGCGAGAAATTGGAAAAAAAAACCTAGCACCAATGACAAAGTGGGGCTCGGACCCGGGTCCACAGGAGGCCAGCCCAGTACTCTACCACTGTGTTATGCTGGTGCTTGTAACTTGTTGTCAAACTTGTTTTAGGCAGGCTTGACCTAGCACCAATTACACGGTGGGGCTCGAACACTGGTCCACTGGGTGCCAGCCCAGAATTCTACCAATGAGCTACACCGGTGCTTCTGACTTGTTGTCAAACTCGCCTTAGGCAGGCTTGATGTCAGGAAAGCGATCGCGTTAATACGACTTATAAAGCGTTTTAAAACAGCAAAAGAACAACCAGTCGTCGCACAATGGCAATAGCGTAACGAGTGGGTCGTCAAATGCTCCAACTCATTACAGAAGCTTGTTCTTGTTCCCCTATTAACTGTGGCACATACCCACTACAGTTATAATTCTTATTGTCGTCAGCCACTGCATGAACAAGTGGCACAAAATTCCTTGCATGTCTTTAGTGGATACCACGCTTCTCAAAAGAACGACGAAAAATAGCATAGCGAATGCCGTCCTACTAACCTAATAAATGATTAATAATGACCTAGTGGGTATCAAGCAAGTGTGCTTGCAGTAGTTACCCAATGAGTGTTTTGAAAAGGCTCCGAAAGGCCGCTCTTTAGCTTTCGCTGTGACTGTGCTGCCCCTTCCGAACAGGCCTGGCGTTTTTTCACATATCTCACCCTCCCTACCACATGACAGATACATAGTCATCCAACAAGAATGTAAAAGTACTTCAAAAATATACTTCAACAACTCTACGAAGGAGCCAGGATTCAATCTCGCGGCCTGCGGGTCAGCAGTCAAGTACCTTAGCCACAAGACCACCACGGCGGGGTACGAACTAGCAGCCTACCGCTTGTCCTGTCTACTTCTACGTGTATTCCATTTGCTGTACAGTTTTAACTCACTTTAAATGTACCAAACCGCTTCCCCCCCTCTCCAATGCACATTACTTGTGTCCAGAGAACAATATTATTACGAGGCAGTGGGCATGGCTCCGCCCTGTCGTAGATCCTAGCAACCCTGAGGTGTCACACCTATCTGTAAATATTGCAAATACACTCCTTTTTATCTTCCGTGTATTTGTAATCCCTGTAACAAATTGGTGGACGTGCTGGGTAACGAAGCGCACTACAACGGAGCTCCGCAGTGGTCGTCAAATCTGAGTTTCCGTGATGGAACACGGGACTGATCCCACGGCCACCTCTCCATCGGCCTCGGTAACGCCTGCACCATCTACGGCAACGCCTCCACCCGCCCCACCTAAGTCCCACAGGGGCTTTAGCCCCCCCCACCCCCACCCACGTACGTGCTGACGCATCCGAAACATCCAGGAAGGTTCTGCGGTACAGACGAAGTTGATGTTGACGACTGGATAGCCGACTACGAACGTACCAGTGCGCTCAACCGGTATGACCCGACTCTCATGCTGGCCAACGTGCTGTTTTATCTGAAAGGCACGGCCAAAGTCTGGTACGAGAACCATGAGGAGAAGATCGGCAGTTGGGACACGTTCAAGGAGAAGCTTCGCGATTTATTTGGGAAGCCCATCGGTCGAAAGGCGGCTGCAAAAAAAGAGTTGTCTATACGTGCTCAGATGTCCACAGAGCTGTATATCTCTTATATACAGGACGTGCTGGCTATATGTCGTAAAGTCGACAACGACATGTCGGAGTTGGATAAGGTTGGCCACGTCCTCAAGGGGATAGCGGACGATCGTTCAACCTGCTAATGTGCTAGGACTGTGCGACCGTCGAGGAAATCATTCAGGAATGCCGGCGTTTTGAACAGGCCAAAAGCAGGCGTATTTCACGATCTTTCACTCGACTGCCGAACACCGCTGCGACGTCCTCCTGCGAAGATCGACTGACCTCTCATCGGCAGTCTTCACCGGCGTCTGAAATTACGCGAATCGTCCGGCGGGAAATCGCAGCAATTACACCTGCTCTTCCCAGCAACGGCCACGTCGATTCACAAGTACCTCAGGTTTGCTTGGTACAGTCGATTGTGTGGGAAGAACTCAGCAATTTGGGCTTTGATGTCTGCGCCGTTGCTCAGTCTCGACCATTTGGCTTCCGCTCAAGGTCGCCGCCTCGTCCCAGGTCACCGCTCCAGGAACGGTCTTTTCCACGCTCTTGCAATCCGGCCGAATGGAGAACGGCGGATGATTGGCCGATCTGCTTTAACTGCCGTCGTATAGGGCACGTCGCACGGTATTGCCGCAACCATTGGTCTTCGTCCCCAACACAGTATAACACTGCTCGACGCGCCGACAGCTACCGCCTTTTTCAGCCTCCTGCGCCGATTCCCTACAGCTACCACCGCCTTCCACCCTTCGATGCCCCTAATACGCAGCACAGCCGCTCACCGTCGCCTCGACGTCATCAGTCTCGTTCGTCGCCTGCATGTTGCCCGTCGTCCCCTTCTCCTCTACGACGACGCCCAACCTCCCCGCTCAATTCTCATCAGGGAAACTAAGCGGTGCAGCTCTTAGAGGTGAAGCTGCATCCTCGATACCGACCTTAAATCCTCTCCTTGTACTGCCGACACGACGAAATTTGATCGACGTAGACATTGACGGCCTGACTGTTTCTGCATTTATTGACACCGGGGCGCATATTTCTGTGATGAGTGCCCGACTTCATTGCCGCCTGAAGAAAGTTCTCGCACCGGCTGCTTCTGGCATTATTCGTGTCGCCGACGGAAGAGGTCTTGACATCATAGGAATGTGCACAGCACGCATCACAATCGCCGATCACCCCATATCTGTTCTCTTTGCAGTTATTGAGCAGTGCCCCAATGACCCGATTCTTGGATTGGATTTCTTGTCCACTCATGCCGCTCTCATCGACTGTGCAACCAGCGTTCTCCAACTTGAACTGCCTCGACTTGGGGCTGTGCCGTCCTCACAGCACACAGATTGTGCGCTGTTTATTATGTTTGGCTGTCACCGCAAGTCACCACGTTTGCGGCCTTAACGATATCACCAGCTCTTCCTGACGACGACTACATGGTGTTTCCATAAGTGGATGTGCTCTTGGCGCGAAGTGTTGCTGTGCCGCATACCATCGCGACTATCGTGGACAACTACATTCAGCTTCCGCTTTTCAACTTTAGTAGTTCGACTCAAGTTCTCCCGCAAGGCATTTCGTTAGGCCATGCTTCCCCACTTGATGCATGTAACATCGTGGCATTAGACCCTGAAGACTGCTCGTCCCCTATTGCAGCCAGCCGAGCAAACGCACCTACCAATGAAATCACGATGATGATTGCCCCTGATCTTCTGCCGTCAGGCTGCGCAACTCCACCACGTTCTGACCACCTACCGGGATATTTTCGACATCGATGACCGCCCTTTAGGTCAAACGTCCGTCGTGCGTCATCAAATACATACCGGTGATGCTAGTCCTGTTAGACGGCGACTCTATCGTGTTTCCCAGTCCGAACGCAAGGTCATACAACGAAGAAGTCGAGAAGATGCTCTCTAAAGGAGTTATAGAGGCCTCTTCAAGTCCATGGGCGTCACCTGTTGACTCACAGCTTTAGTCAAAAAGAAAGATGGCAGTTGGATTTTGTGTTGACTACCGTGCCTAGAACAAGATAACCCGCAAAGACATATATCCACTGCCCCACTGCCCCGAATCGACCATGCCCTTGACTGCCTTCATGACGCGCGATACTTCTTATCTATAGATCTGCGTTCGAGC